ACTACAAAGGACCACCTTTTCAGACCACAAAATGCTAAATATAGAAACTTATAAATGAATATCACATTAGAATGATGCACATTATAACTGGAATTCTTGTTTTAGAATACTATATATTATAAGATTCCTTAAATAGTGAGGCTTCTGGTAAATTTAAAATCAACTCCGATTTATAAAGAAAATACCTAGATTTTTTTTTTAGATTTAGTACATTTTTTAATTACTTTTTTTTTGGAGGAGGAGGTAATTAGTTTTACTTATTTATTCACTTATTTTTTTTAACATTTTTTATTGATTTATAATCATTTTACAATGTTATTTGTAACATTGTAATTCCAGTGAAATATATATTCATTGTCACATTCCTTTCTCTGTGAGCTACCATAAGATCTTGTATATATTTCCCTGTGCTATACAGTATAATCTTGTTTATCTATTCTACAATTTTGAAATCCCAGTCTATCTCTTCTCAGCCCCCACCCCCTGAAAACACCTAGTATTCAGTAGGCATTCCTGTTTGTTGGATGTATACGTTCGCTCAGCTTTTCAGGAATGCACCTATTGCTTAAAAATAATCACTGTGCAGAAATGAAATTGACTTTAACAATGAAATGAATGCTCTAGGAGAATTTACTTTCCTGATGAACTTATTATTTTTAGCATATTGATCTTCACCTTCTCAGACTACGAAACCTGCCCATCAGGGCCAATTACCACCTTCAGCCGTTGGAACTGATTTCCCCATCATCCCATTGACACAGCATGCCACACCTGTCTCCTGAAACACGCCCCCTTCTGTTCATTACCCAGCAACCACAGTCTCACTGCTGCCCAGTCACTCCCCCCACTTTTTTTTTTTAAAATAACACAAGCTAGGTCTACCTGCTATAGAATTGATTTCAGATCCCTGCAAAGCCACTCAAAACACCGTGTGAAATAGTAATGATTTTTCCCTCCACACGAAACGACCTCCCTGCCTGGTTTTGCTTCATTGCCCCTTCAATTCCAGAAATTGTGGTGATACTGCCTTAAATCAAAAGTCTACTAATTACAGAGGTACAGCTTCCAAGGATGAATGCGCAAGAAGAAAAAAAAGCAACACAAGGGGATCGACCACGAGGATGTGTGTGCTTGTTACAAATTACTCTGGTGACGTCTGGTGGGAGGAAGGTGACGTGTCAGCGACATGCACCCCACCACTGGCTCCCCGACCAGCACCAGCGCTGGCGGAGCCTGAGCACATCAGTGTGGCACAGGGGTGGTGGCAGGAAGTGAGTGGCTGCTCAGATTTTCCCTTGGATGGGCTCAGTCTCCCCTTCTCTCCAACTCTTTGGTCCTCTCTCTCCTTCCTCTTCTCCACTTGCCTGTCTCCCCTCTTCTTCCCAGGTCCCTTCCTCCCTGAAAGGGATGAGCAGATGTTTACATACGCACATCTCTCGTCCTTTTGTGGTCATTTTCTTTGCCTCGGCACTTGCCAGTGCTGGTTCGAAGGCATCATTCAAGTTCTTTCATGCTCCCTTCCTTTCCCGCGTGAGTCCTTGGGAAAACCCATTCTTGGAATATACGGGGATTACATTATCTGCATTTATGAGTTTGTGGAAATAAGCCATTTATCTCATTTTGCTACAGTTTTTAGTCCCTAGTGCCAAGAGCATTTCTGACTTTTGGTACTCACTGTCCACACAGTTTCTTTACTACCTAGAATGGGCCTCAAATTCTCCTCATCACTTACTTCTGGGAAGCCAAGAGTATGACCATAGCTAGAGGAAGCCAAGTGCCTGGGGAAAGTGAGACAAAAACCTTCCACTCTCTAAATAAAATGGATCGAGAACTTAAGAGAGTCGACCAGAGGCAGGTTTCCCTTAACACTTGGGTCTATAAAGACGGTCCACGTGAAGTGTCTTCACTGGGA